AATGGTTAAATAGATTTCCACCAAGAAGTCTAAAAGAAAATTCGGGAATTTCCTGGCGGTCCAGTTGTTAGGATTCCGGGCTTTCACTTCTGTGGCTCGGGTTCAGTCCCTGGTGGGGGAACTACCTGCAAGCCGCACGGCAATCAATCAATAAAAGAAAAATCATTTTACCTTCCCTGATTCCTTAACCAAAATAGCTCAGACACAGCACCTCCTCCTTCTGTCTGGGGCAATGATATGCAGAGAAGCCCTGGAGCCCCACAGTCCTTGTCATTTCTAACTCTTTCCATTCCTCCTGCCCTAGCTCTGTCCTCTGGCACGTGCCCATCTTTGACCCTGTACCACAGAGAAGTGGCTAGGAACAGCTCAACTACTTACTCATCATATGACCCTGGGCAAGTTACCCAACATCCAAGTCTGAGCTCTTTCATTTATAAAATGGGAATATCTCTATCTACCAGAGAGGGCCGTTGAGCAGATTAAATAAGGCTGTGTGCGTAGCACAGGAATCGGCACCAATAAGGCCTCAGCAAATGCCTGTCGTCCTCACTACCATCATCATTATCATCCTGTTCATCCTGCTACTCATGGGAAATTTGGTTTCATCAAGTAATCTGTAAGCTTCTGATATCTAACTCCCCAACCCAGCTCCTGCTAGATAAAGGTTTTTCCTTAAAGGACACTGATATCGCATCTGCTTCTTGTAGTGTTTATATCTTATAAGACAGAGCACACAGTTGGTGCTCAGGAAACCCTCAGGATTGCCTGCCTACATCTCCAACCTCATGTCAAACCACCTCCCCACTTGCTCACTGAGCTCCAGCCATGCTGGCTGCCTTTCTGATCCGTAAGTAAGTTCATTCCCACCTCACGGCCTTTGCACTTACTGCTCCTTCAGTGTTCTTCCGCCAGATATCTGGTTTCTCATCATCATTCAAATGTCACGTCCTCAGAGAGATCCTCCCTGATCACCTTGACCAAAGTAGCACTCCCACCCTCACTCTCTACTTTGTTTACTGTACTATAGAGGTCAAGTGCCTAAGTGGCTGGGTAGAATTCCAGTTCCACCACTACCTGGCTGTGTGGCCTCAGATAACTTGCTTTATCTCTCTGTGCTTCAGTTCTCTCATCTGTAAAAATGGAAATAATAATGGTTCCCACTTCAGAAGGTTATCATGATGAATCAATATACATACAAAGGTCTTGGAGTAGTGCCAGGCATGTCTATTAAGTGCTATATCATGTTGGTAATTATCCTATTTATTTAACTGCATGTGTTTATGTTTCTCTATCTAGACTGTATATTCCAGGAGGACAGAGTCCTCCTATGTTTTATTCCTGCCTGGCAGAGAGTAGGTGCTCAAAAACATCGGTTGATTAGAAAGGATCTTAGGGGCCATGCAGGCCACTCTCTCCTTAATCACGTTCTGGTGCCTTTGAGCCCTGTGGCCAACCTCTATGCCACCTCTGGCTTCCTTCCACACTCCTCAGGGCCCTGAGGCGCCCCCTGCTGGACAGCGTGTAGGTTTTTCCTCGAGGGAAGGTGATAGCTGCCTCCTGTAACTGTCAAGTTTCCATGCCTGCCTGGCTCTGCCCTCTAGAGTAGGGGACAGTAAAACTGAAGGGTTTGGAGCATGCTCTTTGGAGCCAGATGCACCTGGATCAGAGCTTGTGCTTCTCAAGTCACTCTGGGTGTCACATGCCAGGAAAGTCTCTTGTCCTCAGTCTCCTCACGTGTAGAAGGGGGTAGCGATACCCTTGCCCCCTTTCCCCATATCCAACTGGGTTACAGGGGTGGTGTGACAGGACGTACCCTGTGCACAGTGAGCCTTGTGGGCCCCCCTTCCCCCAGTGTCAGCCCTCGGGTGACCCACAAGAAGCTGTCTCGTCTTCCCAAGCTAAACACCACCAGTGTATCCAGCGGTCCCTCCAGTGACAGACACGCAGGGACGGTCGGCACCACCCCCTTATCCAAGCCCCTCAGGTCTCCTCTGTGGGCCACATGCCCTCGGGAGAGAGTCTGGCCTCTGGCCTTCTGGCTCTTTCCTCTGAGAGCCGGCAGCTGGCTGGAGGCGGCCTTGCTGGGCTTGCATCCTCCTACACACTTGACCCCCACCTCCCTGGCTGCTGCGTCTCCCCCATCGTGGCCCCAGAAGCTGAGGTTTCCCTGGGCCTTCTCCTGACTCACTCCATGCTTGTTCCCAGTTCTCACCAGTGCCTTGGCTTTGACTGCTGGCCACAGACACTGCAACTCCTCTATCTCCAGCCCAGAGCCGCAGATTCCTTATGGCCCTCTTTCCTGAATGCCTCCTGGGGAGGGCTCCCCCCACCTACAGCATCTTTCATGCCCCCCATATTCCCACCCTGACATCCAGTCCTCTGGACACCTGGACCCAGACTCCTGGCCTCTCACATCCACCGCACCTCTCCATCCAGCCTCCTCCTTCAGCCCAGGCGTGGGCTCTGGTCCTTTCCTGACTCATCCCCACCTGTTTCCCAACATGCTCATACTAGCCCCTCCTCACCCAAAAGCGTTAATTTGCCTGTCACTCCTTCACATAAACCTGGGAGCTCATGGGGGTGACCTGCTTCCTTCATGGCTCCTCATCAAACTGGGCTCCCAGGGCAAAGCATCACTTCTGCTGTCTGATTGGCAACTCGGGTGGGTGTGGAGGATGCCTCTCCCACTGGACTGTGAAAACCCCTAGAAAGGACCAATGGTGCTCATGGAACAAGGGGCTGTGCCTCCACCATCAGACCAGGAGTTCTCAGGGATTTGTCTCCCCTTGTCTGACTAAGGATGCTCCCAGAGCAGGGACTATGCCTCCACCATTAGACTGGAGGCCCCCAATGACACTGGATATATCCCTTCCTCAGATGCCCCATCCTCGATGTGGCCAAGCTGGTGACTCTTCCTGGGACAAGGAGTGTCTGACTTACCCCTGCGACTTTAGGACCCTGTGCTGGGCCTGGCCCCTGGCTGGGGCGTCAGGAATCATGAGTGAATGAATGAACCAATGAACAAATGCAGGCAGGCTCCAGCTTAAACTCTGCAAGCCCACCTGACCAGCAGGTGGCATCAGGGCTCAGAGTCAAAGGAAAGCTGGAAGGGCATGGAGATTTTATTGGTCATCCTTTAGGAGAGGAGAGAAGATGTTTCAGACCCTCACCCACCCCCAAGACCAGCAGCTAAGAGCCCTGGGGAGGGGCCTGGGTTTGAGAGCTGCTGAGGAGGCCAGAAAGGGAGTTCCTGGTCCAGAGCCTGGCACCACACCCTTCCCTCCACCCCTCCCCTCAAACCAGTACCAGGGGCCAGCCTCTGGGCAGGGCTTGGAAAATGACCAATGAGACCAGATGCTAATGACTCTTGTCCGGTCCAATACCAAGCCAAGGAGGACAGCATGAAGTGGGCAGGAACTGAAAAGGGACACCAAGCTGATCCTTCCTGTGCCCCCCAGCCTGTCATCCCCCCATCCCCCACCTCAAGCCACTGGCATCCATCCCTGGGCCTAGGAGAATTGGTACCCTAGATGAGATGCTGCCACCACCTGCCTTCAGGAAAAAAAAAAAAAAAAAAAAAAAAAAAAAAAAAAAAAAAAAAAAAACGGGGAGAGGGATCAAGAGAGGCCAGGAGGGGGGCCCCACACACACACTCGGTTCTGGCTTCTGGGCAGCTTCGGTGTCAGTCGGGCGCCAGGCCCAGCTCCCCGCTCCCTGGCCTCACAATCCCAGCCTTTGTCCGGCGGGACCAGGCCTGGCTGGCTCTGCACCCGCCCAAGGGCCCCTGGAAACCAGAGCAGCTGGAACCCCACCAAGTATTTTTCCAGGCTGGGCCAGGGGCCCTCAAGAGACAGAGACTGAACAAAGGGAGGGGAGTTCATTCATCCCTGTGTTCATTCATTCCTTCCTCCGACAAATAATATTTATTGAGCGCCCATTTTCGTGGCAGGCACAGTGTTAGGTGCAGGGGATTCAGCAGCGGCGGGCCCAGTGCAGGCCCACGCCCTCACCCATCTTATTTTCTAGATGCAAATATATACCAACAAAACCCATCTTTCCCTCTGAGGGGGCTGGTCTTCGAGCATGGGACGGGAGAGGAGTGCGCCGGGTGCGGAAGGTCAGGATGCTACGGACTAAGCCCTATCTACCCCGGCGCCTCTGGCCCTCCAAGGCAGCTGGGGGAGGTTGGAGGAGGGATCACTCAGGGCTCCACCCACACGCTGCTGTTGGTCACCCGGGCCCCGAACCATCCCTTCCAGTAGACGCAGTCCTGTCCGCCGTGCTCGAAGCGGACGAAGCGGACGCCCGGCCCATAGTCGGTGAAGGTGTGGGAGATCTGTGGGTGGGGAGTCAGGGGGAAGGGGGAGGGAGAGTCAGGCTCTGAGTCCCGAGGCCTCCCCCAGCCACCCCACCCCGGCGCTCTGACCCTCGTCTAGCCCCCTGGATTTCTCAGCGCAGCGTCCCTCCTCCAAGCCTCTCGGCCAGGGCAGTCCAACCCTGCCCCGCCCACACGGGCCGTGGGCGGGCTTTTCACGAGCCCCGCCCCACCGCCCCCCGGCCTCCAAGCTCACCTCAATCCAGCCAACGTCGTCGCTGTCTTGTGGCACTGCCACCTGCCCGCTGTTGAACTCGGCCAGCACGTCCTCGTGCTCCGACAGTAGCTTCACCGTGAGCTCGTACAGGCAGCCGGCGTCTCTGCGGCCCGAGTACCTGCCCCGAGGGAGGGAGGGAGGGAGCACCGGGGAAGGCTTCAGCCCTGCTGAGCGGGTACTCTGGGCCCAACCTTCTACAGGAGTTAACCCTGCTGACCGGTAATACCAATGTTCCCATTTTACAGATAAGGAAACCGAGGCCGGAAAGAGAAAGTGACTTGCCCAAGTGACTTTCCCAAACCCAAGGACTAAACCCCAGATGAGCCAGGCCCAGTGTTGGGACCAAAGCCAACCCACAGGCGCACTTTTTGTTGGGACAGCAGGTGGATATTAAAAAACAAAAACAAAAAAAATTGCCAACATTTAAAACTCAGGAGGGGAGATGGATTTCCACCTTCTCCTGAAAACCCATGGTCACATGACTGCAAGCTCTAGAGTAGGGAGGCAGCGGTCTCTGAAGCAGAGTAGCTGGTTCCAGTTTGCCCCTCAACCCCGCTCCCCTTCCCCCATGGCCACTCACCAGTCCTTCACCATGATGGCCGGCTGAGTGGTGTCCAGCAGCTCCTCCCAGTAGCCCTCAGCCTGCAGGTCAATGACCTGTGCTTTGCGACACCACCTGGGAGACTGGGGGTTAGGACTGAGTGGAGGTCCCCTCCCCCCCTTCTCATCCATCCCCCTTCTCCTTACTCGAAGGAGGAGGCAAAGTACTTCTGGACACTCTCATCGTGGCTGAATTCCACCCCGCAGTCTCCGGGCAGCTCCTCCACCCTCCAGCCGTCCCCACCGTGCTCCACGTCGCACCAGCCCTCCAAGTCCTCTGTAGGAACACCACAGCCCCACGCTGGTCAGCCAGCCCCTGCGAGGGTGTGGCAGGGTGGCTCTTGCCCCTATCGTGGGGGGGGAGGATGAACGTGGTCCTTGAATGGTGTCGCGGTGGGCAGACGATGGTGGGCGTGAATGGTGAGCACTTCCTGTTTGTCCCCAGATTCTCTCTCCCTCCCAGGAGGGTCCCTGGGGGGTGGAAGGATCTGGGAGAGAGACAACTCCCGCCCGCCTCCCCGACTTCCCCCGCCCCGAGCAGGGCAGGAGGATAATACTACAGTCTGTACTGGGGCTACTGTGTGCTGGGCACTGCGCCAAGCGCCTTATCTCATCCACCCCTCCAAGCAGGCTGGCCTTGTTACTGCCCATGGTACAGAAGGGGAAGCTGAGCTCCCCAGGCCGGGGTGACAGGGCGCGACCCCTCACCTTCCCCGCACGGGTTGCGCAGCAGGTTGCGCCGCCTCTTGCTCAGGAAGTAGAACTGCTGCCAGTGGTCGCGCTCATCCTCGGGGCCGCCCTCGGGTACCAGACCCTCTTGCTGGCACTTGAGCAGCCACAGGGGAGAGCCGTCGACCAGCTCCTTCCAGCGCAGGCACACCAGGCGGCAGGCCTGCACCAGCTCGGCGGCGGGCAGCTCGGCCAGCACACGAAGCAGCAGCGGCTCGGGCAGCTCGTCCAGGTACGCGGCCTCCTCCTCCTCCCCCTCGTCCTCGGGCCGCTCCTCCCCGCCGCTCGCCTCCTCCGCGCCAGCCTCCTGGGGCTGCTCCTCCGGGCTCGCCTCCTCCGGCTGGCCCACGCTCTCTGCGGGCGGGCGGGCGGGGCGCGGCTGAGACTCCCCCCAGACCGCCCCCGCCGCGCGCCACGGCCGCGACGTGAAAGGCGTCCGCCCCCACCCGCGCTCGGACAGTCCTCAGCCGGCGCCGGAGCTTCCGTGACCAGAGCCTGGCCAGGTACGCGGCCTCCTCCTCCTCCCCCTCGTCCTCGGGCCGCTCCTCCCCGCCGCTCGCCTCCTCCGCGCCAGCCTCCTGGGGCTGCTCCTCCGGGCTCGCCTCCTCCGGCTGGCCCACGCTCTCTGCGGGCGGGCGGGCGGGGCGCGGCTGAGACTCCCCCCAGACCGCCCCCGCCGCGCGCCACGGCCGCGACGTGAAAGGCGTCCGCCCCCACCCGCGCTCGGACAGTCCTCAGCCGGCGCCGGAGCTTCCGTGACCAGAGCCTGGGACCCTGTGGAGGAGGCCCAGGAGCCCGGGGCCACAGATCAGCTCCAAGTCTGAAGAGTGGCCTCAGAGGCCTCAGTTTCCCCGGCAGTGCCAGTAAACCCCATACCTGAGCCGACAGCAGGAACTGATGATATGTATTCCTGACACAATGAAGCCCCTTAGCCCTCTCAACGGCCCTCTAAGATCCCTTCTCCGGTCACCTCCTCAGGGGAGCCCTCCCCAGCTTCCCCTACTACAGCATCCTCTCACCTCACCGCTGGGAGCTCCGTCCTTCCTAGCTTTTGTCCAAGGGTTTGACGGTTTATAAACACCTTTCCCGGGGACTAGACTGAGGGAATGAGGGCAGGAACCGGGTCTGGGAAGCTCACTGCTTCATCCCCCGTGCCTGGCATCTGGCACCCTGCCTGGCTCCCTGTCACCTTAGCAAGTGTTAGGCACCATTCTGAGCGTTTTAATTTTTACTCTTTAAATCCTCACAGCATCTCTTCCAGGTTGTCCCTATCACCATCCCTATTTCCCTGATGAGGAAACGGGGACAGAGAGGTAAAACCACCCAGGATCACGCAGCAAATGAGTGGTCGGAGCCTGGATTTGAACCCAGGCAGTCTGGCTCCAGAGCCACCTTTAACCATCACAGCCCTGAGAAAATGATTCGTTGAGTTGAGGGTTATGATTTTGATTTCACAGATGAAAATGCTCAGGTTCAGAGGTGGGGAGTGACCTGCCAAAGGTCACACTGCTGGTATTCAGGCAGGGGATACAGGGATCTGAGGCCTGAAGGGAAGGGAGAACAGGGGCTTGGGGATGGGGGAGGGAAGCTCGTTAAAAGAGAACATGTGTATCAAATAGGGAGATGTAGTAAGTGCTTGGGAAGGAAGGTTTCTTCACTCCTTTTCCTATTCCTGGCCCTCAGCTTCCTCGTCTATAAAATGGGGGTAATCCCAGGCCAATCAGACAGTCATCTGATGTTCAACTCTTCTGAGGAGAAGCAAGGGCATTCCAAATTATGAGAAGGGACTGATATCAGGAGCTGTGGGCTGGACTGTCTCCTGGATCCTGGCTGGCCTCAGCTGGGCCATCGAAGCCTTGAATAAGTGGATACCGAGCGGAGGAGGGAAAGACAGTGGGGAGGTGACAGAGCCACTCTGGGTGATGGGGGAGGCCACTGCTCTCAGACCTAGGACAGTGGGGTTGGGGGAGTCCTAAGTGCTGGGCCCTGGAAAGCCAAGATGGTGGTGGAAACAGGCCAGGCATCAGGGGAGGAACAGGCAGGGCCTAGACCCAAGGCTGGGTGTTGCCAGGACCTGGGCGGCCAGCCCTTCACCTCCTCATATGCAGCATTTCCCCACCGCCCACACTCTCAGCCCCCTGAGAGCCCAATCAGGGTTTACGTCTTCAGAGCCCAGAGCACACAGTGAGTCCTCAGTAAATCTTTTTAGTGAATCTTATTATTCAGCATAGTTCCCTTCATTGTTAGCTTTTTTTTTTGCCACATCTTTATGATGTGGGGCTTCACACTTCCCCTTTGGCAAGGAGGAAACTGAGGCCCAGAGAGTCTTACTGACTTCTCCCAAGTCACACCGCAGAACTGTGGGACGGCGGAGAGGAAAATGCCTGCCTTGAAGCCATGTCACCTGCCCATCTTGCTGCCCACAGCTCTCTGGGGAGCTGGGCCCAGTGCCCTCACCTCTCCACCCCTCCCCCTGCCCTGCCCTGCCCTGGCCCTGGTGGACACCTGATGCTCCCCCGAAAGGTGCACCTCGCCCAGTCCCCTCTCCTGGCCCCAGGCCTGGCACTCAAGGCCCCAGATCTGATTACAGGCCCCCCCCCACCCCCTCTTGAGCACACACAACTCCCCACATTGTTGCCTTCGGAAAGTTATCTGGCCCCTGGAAGCTGCCTCCGAGGCTTATTCACTCACCTGGATTGGGCCCCTGAGTCCAGGGAATAGCTGGGCCCTGGGAAGAAGCAGGAACCCATTCTGGGGCCCTATAAAGGGCGGGGCAAGGGGGCCACGGATTGGGGGCAAGAGCGGAAGGAGCTAGGATTTTCAGGGCTGGAGGGAGGGGTGGGGAGCTTGGCTGCCTGAGTGAGCATCAGTCTATTTCCCATTGTCTCCCCAAGCAACTGGCCACTCTCAGATGCGCCTGGTGAGGAAGGGGTGGGGGCAGGTCTTGTTCCCACCCTGACTCAGCAGGCAACCCCTACAGGCCCAGCGGAGAGTTCTAGAGATGGGGAGCGGGGGATCTTTGGTGCCAGACAAGATGACTGGGCAGTCTCAAAGGGCCCTGAGCATCGGCTAGAGCTGATGTCCCAACTCTCCCTCACCACCAGCCTGGTTCCCACTGGGCATCCAGCCACCTAAATGAAGGACAGCCCCTCCAGACAAGGGATCCCAGGAGGAAGGCTGGGATGGGGTGGGGAGAGGCCAGTAACCCCAAGAAATTCATGAGGTTTCAGGCATCTCACGGCCCAGAGTTGGCAAATGGAAGAAGCTGATGGAATAAAAAGGCTTGTGGCCTCTTCCATCCCAGATAGGTCCCAGACCCGGGTCCAATAGACCCTCAGGAGGCGGGAACGTGGGATTACTCATACGCTGTTTCCCGGGTAAATGGGACCCAGGAGTCCTCCCTCCTGCCTGTCATCTCTCAAGGCCTCTGGCAGATCAAGACACCAGACAGAGGACTGTGCTCCTTTGAGACTGTCTCAAGGGCTTTGCTTGGGTGAAAGTGTGTCGCTCTGTGTATCGGGGCCCCCTCGCTCACTGATGCCCCCTCTCCGTAGCACTCGCCCGCCTGCCCCGGTCACCCCTCCAGGGCTGAGCGAGTGGATCCGGCGGCGGCGGCTACCTGGGTCACCGTCTCCGTCCATCGCTGCAGAGCGCGGTCGCGAGAGGAGGAGGACCCGGAGCGCTGCGGGCGGGCTGTCCGAGTCCCGCGGCGGCGGCGGCGGCGGCGGCGGCGGCGGCGGCGATTCCAGGCGCTGCTCACGTCTGGGTCGGGTCCCGGCCGGACGCGCCTCTTAAAGGCCCCCGCCTCCGCCCCCGCCCCGCCTTTGGCCCCGCGCCGGGACGCCCCACAGTCCGGAGCGATCGGCCCGAGGCCTGAGGCTCCCGGTTCCTTGGCGGGCCCAGGAGGCCAAGAAAGGTCGGGAGTCGTTTCTTTTTTTTTTCTTTTTTTTTTTTAATGGGGGCGGGTGGGAGTCCGATTCGGGGCGTCTCCCAGCACCCTCCTGGGGTGGCTGCTGGGAGGAGGCGGCGAGGAGGCTGGGAGAGTCTGGGTCATGCGGAGGGTGTGGGCAGAGGCTCCTCCCGGCACGACACCGCCCCGCCCCAGGTAATTTTCCTACATCCGTGGGGGGCGCACCCCAAGCCGGCTACTCCCCGCGGGCCGGGGACCTGAGCGGGCCGTGGAGGCGGGGCCGGGGCGGGGCTCGGTAGGCTGGGGCGGGGCTGCATCTACCGGCGACAGCAGGCGGAGGCTGGCTCAGCCCCTGCTGCGGAGCGGGATCGCAAAGCGGTGGCAGAGGGCAGGTGACCGGCGGGAGTGGGCGCGGGGAGCGCCGGGGCGGGGGCGCAGGGGGCGGGGGGCGGGGGGGCGGGCTCG